ACCCACATGTTTCAAATTGCATACAGGTGTTACTCCTATGGGAGAGATTAGAACGTCCTATTTTGGAGCACGCCAGTCGACCTACTTTCGAGCCACGCCCACTTTTTGGCAAAAATGAAATTGACTATCTAGATTTATTCGATTTTGTTACATTTTGGTATATTAATGTGTAAGACTAGCTCCAAAACAGTTGTTACTCCTATGGGAGAGATGACAACGTCCTAGCTATTACGTTTATTTTGTCTAACTGGTTAACAACTCTACAATCATACCTATATACGTGTAATATTGTGTTTTAGATTCTTCATTACAGAAATTTGACTGGAATATATTATTGTCATTATTTGCGCGATATTCGAAAACCAAAATGGCGATCATTTAGGCGTAGCGCCATCTCTCGTCAAGATTTCAGACTCAGATCTGAAACATATGCAATCAAAACTTATGCATATATCATTATCAAGAGTATATAATGGGAGATATATGCTATATAATGGGAGTTCTCCCATATATACTCTTGCTTTATATATCCCCCTCCCTCTTCTATCACACCCAATGTGAGCTACAGTGTCATTGACACTTTCATTGGTATGTGAATGAATAAGGACTGGCCCCAAAACATATCACAGAGGTTTTGATATTTCTTAAAAATTATGCAAATTAGATAGATTTTGGCAGTTTCACTATGCATTTCAGTGTCTGCCTACGGTCACCGATAACTCAAGAACCGTTTGACCCACATGTTTCAAATTGCATATAGTTGTTACTCTTATGGGAGGGATTTGAACGTCCTATTTTGGAGCACGCCAGTCGATGTACTTTCGAGCCACGCCCACTTTTTGGCAAAAATGGAAATGGCCATATATGTCAGTTCAGGTTCAATGGATTTTACTCATTTTTGGTATGTGAATGAATAAGGACTGGCCCAAAAACATCACAGGGGTTTTGATATTTTTTGTAAATTATGCAAATTAGGTAGATTTTAGCAATTTCACTAGATGCATTTCAGTGTCTGTCTACGGTCAACGATAACTCAAGAATCGTTGACCCACATGTATCAAATTGCATACAGTTGTTACTCCTATGGGAGAGATTTGAACGTCCTATTTTGGAGCACGCCAGTCAACCTACTTTCGAGCCACGCCCACTTTTTGGCAAAAATGAAATTGGCCATCTAGATTTATTCGATTTTGTTAAATTTACCTATCTACCTACCTACCTACCTACCTACCTGTACCTACCTAATCATACCTACGTGTAATATTGTGTTTTAGATTCTTCGTTAAAGTAATTTGACTGGAATAGTTTATTGCCTTTATTTGCGTGATAATCGAAAACCAAAATGGTGATTATTTATTCTCTCGCCCAGATTTCAGACTTTCAGATCTGAAACATTTATTTTCGCATCAGAACTAACCATGAAACAAAACAGTGAAATTTCTATTAGTATAAAACGGGGAGTAAGGACATTTGATCACATTTCGGTCCGTCATAAATGAAACACTTACCAAATTTTAAATATCATCTCCCTCTTTTATCACACCCAAGGTGAGCTATAGTGTCATTGACACTTTCATTTTGTATTGAGACGTTCCAAGTGCCTGTGCTTTCAACAGTCTTGTACATGAATGCATGTGCCTCAAGAGCCACAAACTCAACACAATTTCATATCTCTGTTATTGTTTCCTCCTGAATGCGTGATTGATCAGGGAGGGGTGCATATATAAGAGGGAGCCATTTTCTTTGGGGTTCCGAAAACAATTCCAATTCCACCAACCACCAACCACCAACCACAATTCCACTTGACAATTTAATGGGCCAATTCAATTGGAAGCTCTGCATAATGCACCCCCCAACAAGCCCCTTAACTGACGCTCGTAGGGTCTATGTCCCCCTGACCTCTGTTTGACCTCGCTCGTTTAGCTATTTCTGACTAACGCCTAACCCTAACCCTAATCCTAACCACTAAACCCTAACCCTAACCCTATATATATTATATATATATATAGTATATATTTAGTCAGAAATAGCTAAACGAGCGAGGTCAAACAGAGGTCAAGGGGACATAGACCTTATCTGCTTAACTGACTAGTAAAGAAATTTAAAGGTCCGTATATTGCTCATAAATTTAGCCGCCGATAGTTCTTATTTAAAACAAAGTCTTCATTGTTATCTTCTAAAACTACAGACCATCCGCTGACCGCTGTGGAGACGTGCGGCGGGCCTCGAATTTGGCGCACGTCTCCACTGCGGACAGCGCCTTATACTTGAATATCCCGGTGGTCGCATGCGCATATCCCGCGGAACTGCGCGTCTCATCCGCGCGCAGCGCTCAGGATCAACAGCAAAGGTGTGCCATGCATTCTTGTATCATGTCTCTCTGATTGTTAAATTGACTAGCTGGAACCCGCGCTATGCGCGGGCTTAGTGACTGTGATGCATATGTTACCAGTAGTGTTATGTGTAATGTGTTATATGGAGAGTTTAGTTGTTGCACATGTTTGTTTTTTTATGGTTGAGATGTCAATACAAATACATGTACAATAGCCGGAAATCTGAAATACGTGATGGACGATCGGCCCCCGATCCGATATCTGCTCTGATCAAATTCAACTTGTACATCTCATATCGAAAACTATGCCAAAATAGCTACTGAACATTTAACTTCATTATTACATGCTTATTTCTACTCACATTATAGGGCTTACAAAAATCTCTGTGCATTGAGATGCGAATAATGCAAAAGATTGCGAAATATGAGCAAGCAAAGATATAGCGCCCCCTATTTTCAGGCAAATCTTTACCTTTTTTTTTTGTCTTTTTTAAGCATTTTTTACGGTTTTCAACCGAATATAGTTTAGAACCCGTCCCGTGTATTCATCGATCTCTTCTGTGAATTTGGCGCTATTTGGATCAAAACTGACGGGGCCTTTCATTTTAACATACATACAACATTCGCCAAATTATAGTAAGATTATAGTAAGATCTAGGGCTGGTGGCTCCTAAGAAAATTGTGTATAAAGGCCCACCCACTAAGATGAGGGATTTAACTACGGATCTTCATTCCTGTGGCCAGAACGCACAAGAGATAACATTTTTAGTTCTAACTAACTGCAGAGAAATATGCCAGCTACTACACAGCTACTTGTTACATATAAGGTTAATTATATCACTCAAAAATTCCAAAGTTCCCAACACGTGCCCCACCCACCACTCACACAAACAGACAGGTGTTATGTTAGGCCACTATGCTCAGTTCCAGGGTTCCGTGATTGTAGAACCATAGCAAGGCAATGGTGCAACTGTAAGTAGAATGGTCTGAAGTACTGCTGTACTTCCCTTGCTCCTACACGCAGGCACACACACGTGCGCTTCATCTTCAGGCATGAGAATTTTCCGCGGATTCGCGGATTTCCGGGTTTTGGTTTTCATTTTAGTCATTCTTGAAATTGATACAAAAATAATAATAAAAAGCGTAAGGGGGGGGGGGTAATGCATACTTTTTTGTCAAAATAGACACCATTTTTAATTTAAACTTCATAAAAAGTCAGGAAAAGTATGTCGGATTTCACACAGAAGTAACAGAACTCCAGATAAATATCGCGGTGTATCTATGTAATGTAAATTAAGGCATGCTTTAAGGATACTCTCCACGTTGTGCATGAAATTTTATAGATTTTTCGTTTTCAACTTTATTCGATGGCTAACACTATGCGCCACCTTTGTAATGCTCAT